CCCCCCCGCAACCCCCCCCCCCCCGCCCCTGCATTTTAGCCCCTACTCTAATCCCGTTCCCCTTGATGAGGCCCTCTATTTGGGAACTTGAAAAATGATAATCCAAGTCATATCAACAGATGCAACTGAAGGAAGAGTCTTGAAGAAACTAACCAAAAGAGAACCCTCCCTAGCTTTGAATACGTTTTTGTAAGATCATACAGGGTGCATCTCTGTGAACCAGGGAGACTCTGGTACTGGACCACAGATGTTCCAGGATCAGAGAATCCTGGTGCACTGAGGGGGCCGGGAGGGTCGGGAGCCTGGCCTGATGCAGCAGGGATGGGCTGTGGGAGCCCAGTGCGATGTGGGGGCGGAAGCCCAATGTGTGGCCCAGCTGGGTTGCCCAGAGGGCTGGGAGCCCAGGAAGCTGCCAGGGAGAGGGGAAGTGGGAGCCAGGAAGTCTGACGCGTAGCTCAGCTGGGTTGGGATGGCAGAGCAGGGGGTGGGGCCAGCAGCAGGGGGGGTTAGAAATGATCTCCCTCCGTCTGACAAAATCCCTCCGCCAGGACCTGTCTGGCCCCGAGGGTGCCAGACCTGGGAAGTCCAACCTGTAGCATGAAAAACTAATGGAGAATGAGTTTTTCTTTTTCTGGACTGCAGAGAGGGGAGAATATTGGTAGTAATTTACTTTAAAAGTGTTGTGTTTAAAAACATAACCACAGAAAATCTAATTTCCTTATTTTTCCTTAAATATGTTATTGAACTGGCAGGACTCCTAACTGATCAATTTATTGGATTTCAGCAGACTAAAATATAGCAAAAGCTTCAGGGGGTGGCCGAGTTAGTTTGTAACAGAAAAAACATAAAAAACAACAAATAGTCTAGTAGCACTTTAAAGACTAACAAAACATGTAGATGATATCATGAGCTTTCGTGGGCAAAACCACTTCTTCAGAAGACCGGAGTATAATATAAAATATAATAAAATATAGCAAGTCATCCTAACTTTGCATGTGACTCATCATTGCCTTAGGAAATAGGCTTGCATTGAAATGTAATCCAATGTGTGGAGAAGTGAGTGATCATTCTTGAGTAACAGAAAGCCACACCCCTCTGTGATTACAGTTCAGTGTCGCCTTCATAAAGGAAGACTTTTAGACTCTGTATTCTTTTGTACTTTATTTCAGAGGATGGGCAGAAGCTGCAAGACGCATTGTATGAACTAACTATGGAAACTTCAGTGCCAATTGTATTTGTGCAACAGAAGCAAATAGGAGATTATGACAAAACTGTAAAGGTAGGAAAAGAAACAACATGAACTGATTTTTATAACTTTTTAGATTTGAAGATAAGAATCAGTGTAGATACAGACTTCCTTTTAACAGTGTGTGTTTTGGGGGGGAGAGGGTCAGCCTTGAGTCACAATCACCTTTCTTTTTCCATATTACTAAATGGGAAGCATATTGGCTAGATCAGGAGAGAGTTGTGATGTGGGAAGGGGGATGAAGGGAGAGAAGAGGGGAAGGATCTTGATATGGAAAAAGTTGAGAACTACCGATGTACAGGCAGTCCCCGGGTTACATGGATCCGACTTACATCGGATCCCTACTTACAAATGGGGTGAGGCAACCCCGCACTAGCTGCTTCCCCCCAGCAGACCAGGGAGACGTGGAGCGGCTTTTCTCAGCAGACACCTCAGCTTGAGAATAAAGGACTGAGGGAAGTGAGGTGTGGGAGAATAAAACTGAGCTCTGGAGAAATGTTTGGCTAGAGTTTCTCCTACAATATGTACCAGTTCCGACTTACATACAAATTCAACTTAAGAACAAACCTACAGTCCCTATCTTGTACATAACCCGGGGACTGCCTGTAGTAAAGACTCAGAACAGTTTCATAACCTATGTGATACATTCTCTTAAAAAAATTCAAAGCATGATTTACAAAGCATCATCTCCAGATATGCTATATGTATGTGTTATAATGTTGTCTTATGATATGTGTTTCATCAGGGAGGCTTTACTCACTAATTAAGTTTGATAGGTGTCTGATAGTTGTTTTTGAGAGCTGTCTATCCTCAGATAGGGCTGTTGCCATCAGGCAAAGAAAAAGATGTGGTTTTGGACAGCACACTTTCTTTTTAAACTTTTATAAACATGAACTACATGAAACAGTATTTCACACAGTTCAATAAGTGCTTCCTTCTTAAGCTGTACTAAAAGAAATAGAACTTGAACCCAATCATAGGGCAAAGGCCATGTTCCAAAAGGGGAACCAAATGTAAATTTTTAGAAGCAGTATTCTTTTTCTGTGGGGTTTTTTTGTGTGTGTTTGTGTGTGTACATGTATTCAGCTTCTGATGCCTTCAGGGTTTTGTTTTCATTTTTAAAAAGCAGCCCATAATTATGAAGAAACTGGAAGACTTACTTGGCATTGCCTGGGTCCTGAGGAGGGGAGCCACCCAGGCCACCCTGGGTCAGCCTGAGGCGGTGGGACCACACGCCATGGTGGCCCAGGGGTGTCTTGTGGTGGCAGGGCCATGCAGTGGCTGGCAGCTGCTCCCCAGAGCAGGCTGGGCTAGTGAACACCCTGAGGCTGGCCAGCAGCTAGCTTCTTCCCAGGGCTGAGGCGCTTGCTGCCCCCATGTGGTCATGCATGAATGTAACTGTCCTTGCTGTCAAACCCTTCCCTTTCTGTTTGAGAAACAATCCCATTTGTGCTGGCAAAAGCCCTCTATGCAGATGGTATGACTGTCATGATACAGTATTTTTCAGCTTGGTTGGCCAGATTAAGCTTCACTAGTAAATATAAGCTGTGTCCACCCAAAGAGCACTTTGCTAGCATAGCATGCTGTTACAGGCATCCTGCAGTGTTCCTCAAAGTGGGCCGCGGGCCTGCTTTGGGAAAGCCACTAGCGGGATCACACTGCTTTGTTTACCTAAAGGGTCCATAGCCACAGAGCCTGGCAGACTGGAGTTGATGGTGAACTGGAGTTAATGGGAGCCACGAGGCTCCATGACTATGGACCCTCTTAGGTAAACAAAGCAGCATGGGCTTGCTAGAGGCTTTTGCAAAGCGAGCCTGCAGCCTACTTGGAGAAACACTGGCATCCTGGGAGACCCTTCAAAGCACAGACATGTTCAAAATAATGAGATATGGCTTTTCAGTGAGGTTGACTTGTGCTGTGGCTAGGAGGCTGAAATATCTAGTCTAAAATCAGAGTAGTAGCTACTCTGAACCTTAGCTCTGGTTCCCTAATACACTACACACGATGTCCGTTCAGTGTGAGAGTCACAGTACTTTGTATATGGTAGAATATTGACTCTTTGGACAGTACAGTATGCTCATGGAATGAAGCACCAAAAAGCGAGAAATGTATCATGATTTCAATGAGACTTCAGAACATAAGGATGATTTGTGATAATTTTCTCATGTGTGTGATTTGTGATATAAATGATAGCGTCATATTTGCTTACTGTGAAGTATTTTTGGGGAAGTGGGGGCAGAGAGATGGGTAGAGAATTTCTTGATATGTTCATTCGTTACTTCCTTATTTTGTTCTGTGAATTTACTGTTTTCTTAATAGGTTTCTTTATCTGATGCATTTGCTCTCTTCTTGGACTTCTACACTGTGATCCATGGAGATAACCTCACAATGTAGTTCAAACAGCTAAATCAACAAAAATGTGCTGGGCATGTAATTAGATAGGTAGGTAGATAGATAGATAGATGCTTGAAGGGGTCTTGAAATGTAGTTAGTTTATTAAAGTGAGTAATTTCAAGTGCTGTTCTTGTTCCCTGAGCCCCCTGCCAATTTGGAAGGGGGGGGGGTTATAATCAAATTTTCCCATATTCTTTTTCTGTCTTTCAATTATTTTCTCTCCTTGCTGTCTGAAAGAAACAGAACAACAACAGAGGACGCTGATAGACTGTGCACCACATCTCCTTCTTTCTCAACACCCAGCTCTGATACTTGCATAGTTGCCTCTCAATCCCTTTGTGCCAAAGATGGATTTGTCACCTTCCCCCTCCCCTGGATCCTGCAGAGGCTTCTCTGCTCAGTCTGAAGTCTGTGTAAAACTCTTACGCAAATGGCGAGTAGGAGAGAATCTCACTCAACACCCTTCTCGGGGTTTGCTTGCAGAGGGGGCTCCCTGCTAACCCTGCCGCCGCCGCCACATCCCCATCCCGGGTCTACTTCCTACGTGGCCTATACGCTCCATCTTCGGGGTCTTCGCCCCCGGGATGGCGTCACCGCTACCCAAGTCTCTGCCCTGTGTCCTTCCTTGTGTGAGGGTTCCCCGTGGTCGTCAGCGTTGTAAGGTCCTGGCCCGGTCTGGTGGCTCGCCTCCCCCGCTGCCAGGTCCCCCACGTGCCTACCTGCTGGGGTCACGGCTTTGGCGTCCTTCCCAGGGTCCACGGAGGTTCCGGTGCCCTTGGTTGCCCTCACGCCAATTCTGGCATCTTCACCTGGCTCGGAGCCCCCCCCCGCTTTCTCCCCCTCCTGCGTGCCGGGCCTGGCATCCTTTTCCTCCCCCGCTCCAGTTCCACCATCCCCTTCCAGTCCTGCGCCGGTGTCAGCGCTCTCCCTTTCCAACTGAGCCAGCGCCGGGTTTGAGTGTGGCGCTTGGAGGAGGGCACATGCGCAGCAGGGACGGAGAAGGCTGCGCTGGTTTTGCTCCGTGCTGCCGACTGCGGGCACGCTCTCGCTCAGGGTCAGGGACGGGCTCAGGAGCCCATTGCACTTTCCATACCAAATAAGCATCCCAGTATGTTAAATGGTCACATCTCTCTGAGAGCTTTGTAGCAGCTATTGTTGCAAATAGAACTGGAAGGAAATTTTTCATCAAAACTTTTTGTTTTACATAATTTTTATCAGAACCAAAGCATTTAGTAAAATATGTTATTTCAACAGACTTTTCCACATAAAAAAGTTTTAAACTACAAAAAAAAATATATTTCCTCTCTCCCAGCAACAACTTCTCACTGGAACTATTCATTTTGTCATTGATTCAGATTTAAGAGCTATGGTTAATGCTTTTTTTTAAAAATAGATTTATCTTTTTGTTTACTTTTTGCAGGCACATAAGGAAGGAAAGATTAAAAAACTACTTGAAACGAATCAACATGATCATGTGCAGGATTCCTACGACTATGATCTAATTGTCATTGGAGGGGGGTCTGGAGGTCTGGCTGCTTCCAAGGTATGAATGGCAAATTGCACATTTACGAGCCACAGACAATTGTGGTCTAAATATTTCTGATACTGTGGAGGCATCAAATTTATTCTTGTTCTTCTGTTATTCTCTGTGAGATAGTCCCAGTGGTATCCTCATTTACAGAAGCAGTTGTTCTGAAGATGAAAAGTATGAAAATGTAACGAAGTGAATGTGAAATAAAACTTTACTCCCTTTCCCACCCTCCAAGAGATATTGTTTAAAAACTCTCGAGAGGTTTTCTTAGCATTTGAATTAAGCTGCTGAGAGCATTTTAAAACTATCCTGAAATTTATTATATATATATTTTTATTTTTACCTGGGATTTTTTCTGTCTGTGTGTACATGGGTTTTTTCATTTTTGAATCAGTAATTTTTATGTTTAATGGCTACAGTGAAATCAGTGACAGTTTGCTTAACTAGCTGCAAGCCTGGCATGTAATGTAATATAATTAATAATACATGAACTAATTGTTGTCATTCAAGATATCAGGTTTACTAATTTGAAAAAAAAAATGCCACCCTTGACATTTACAGATTGTGGGCTAAATTCTGCACATCAATGTGGCATTCATGTATAGTGCCACATTGATGTGCAGGTGTGTAACTGAGGGCAGAATTTGGTTCCTGGAGCTTTTATAGGACATATCGGATCAGTACAGTAGGAATACACATTTAAAATCCTTCTAACATGATTTATCTGGTTTTCCCTTTAAAAGACATGGAATGTTGTTGAGACATTATTTAAAAAATGTGACTGGCTGCAGTAGAGAGCATCAGTTCTTTAGCAGTGCCCTTAACCTCCAAAGTGAAACTGCATGACTTGTAGAAATCTGTATGCCTGTTTTTTCCCCCATTTTGAGCATGCAGATTAATTCTGAAGATTAGGGACCGCTTGGCCATGCCCTTGCAGCTCAAGTGTTTTTAAATAATTCAAAATGACATTTATTTTCATTAGTGTATGATGCTGTCATGTAGTATGGATGCAAATATTTAGATATTTTAATTTGTTTTCCAGGAAGCTGTCAAGTATGGCAAGAAAGTGATGGTGCTGGACTACGTTACTCCTACTCCTCTGGGAACTAGATGGGGTAAATTTCTGCTGGCTACAATCATGTTGTTATTAACAGGCATTTCTTAGTTAAAAGGTTTGGATTATATTTTAGGGCAAAGAATATTCATACCTAAAACATATTCTGTTCCTCTCTTAGGTCTTGGAGGGACGTGCGTAAATGTGGGTTGTATACCCAAGAAACTGATGCACCAGGCAGCTTTGCTAGGTCAAGCCTTGCAAGATTCACGCAAGTTTGGATGGCAGTTTGAGGAGAAAGGTATGGACACTTTTTAAAACTTATCTTTTAATTTTCATCCAGAGTTCTATCCTGCAAGGTGCTGAGTACTCCAGCACTTCTTCTGCATAGCACTTTAGCTTGTGTTAGCTTTAAGAATGCTAGTGGTACCATTGACTTCATTGGGATGACATATCCGCTTAAGTGCATTGCAGGATCAGAACAGGAATGCTCAGTATTGGGTCCTCAGTAGTGCAGCATGCATTTTTGTAGTTCGTTGATTACTTCCAGTGCTTAATACAATGAACCTATGTGTCCATTCAGGCGGGTCTGGATGTGATTCAGGCATGCTCCCCATAAGTGTGCATATGCAGAAGCAATTCTCAAAAAGACGTAACCTATTTATGTTTTAACAGACACCTGCTCACAACAGGTGTCAGCAGAATAATATTGACACTGAGATAAAGCTAAAAGCTTGAAGGGTTAAAAAAATAGGGAATGCCACAATCCTGAATGGCTTGGTTGGAGTCCACTGACAACAAAATAATGCCTTCCACTGTTGTTGTAGCCATATGGTAAGCACTGTAGGTCAGACCCAACTTTGCCTTATTCCAGCATTCTGTGGGTATATCAGGGTTAAACAGGAGTAACAGTGGTGAACGGAGCCCACTGTGACTATGGTTATGTGGGAATCCTACTGGAAATGTAAGGAAGACTGGGGAAGATGAGGGATAAACAGGTTAAATGCTGGACATCTTTTTGTTTCTCCAACAGTCAAACACAGCTGGGAGACTATGACAGAAGCTGTTCAGAATTATATTGGCTCTCTCAACTGGGGCTATCGAGTATCTTTGAGAGAGAAGAAGGTCACATACGAGAATGCTTACGGAGAATTTGTTGGGCCACACACAGTCAAGGTACCGAATAGCAATGTGTTCTCTATCCCTTCTTTACTATTTTTTGGGAAAAGATGCTTTTCTGGCACAACAATTTTCTTGTTGGTAAAAGTGTGAAATACTAACTATGTCCCATTGCTTTGCATATAGGCAACAAATAACAAAGGAAAAGAGAAACTGTACACAGCTGAGAAATTTCTCATTGCTACTGGTGAACGGCCACGCTACCTGGGTATCCCTGGAGACAAAGAATATTGCATT